AGTTTTGTTTTCTTTTTCCATTCAATCATTTACACCTTCCCTCTTCCCAGTCCTCTCCAATTCCCCCACACCCTGTCTTCTGAAGGCAAAGGTGTAAGTCACAACAATCCCACAACAGTTTGGAATTATGATTAATAGAATGGTTATTTATTTAAAGGGGAAAAAACTTACAGATCACCGTCCCAGACAACAGCCCTCTGCACAATCAGGAAGGGAGTCTAGTCGCTGGAAGTGGAGCAGGATATAAGAGAGAGCAAGAAGGGAAGTGACTGCTTTTTTAAAGGGAGAGAGACCACGCCCCAACGGGCTGGTATCTCAGCGGCTATTGGCTGAAGGAGCGGGAGGAGCTCCTGCAACAGTCTTCCCTCTCCCACCTTGCTTGAGGGAGGGAAGGGAAACCTGCCTTTTGGGAAGTACAAGGCCACCCCCCCTTACATCTAGGCCTAGGAACCTGTGCATTCATGTAGACTAGGGTCCCAGAAAGCCAGAACATGTGGTAAAATGAAGCCCCAGTGCCTTTTTCAATGGCTTCTCAGTCAGCCCCATTGTCAGCCACAATCAAAGAGTCCAGTTTGATCACATGCTCATTCAGACCTGGTCGAGCTAGACTTGGTGTATTCCCATTAGAACATAAAGTGTGGAATATATATGCATTAGAGTACTACTCAGCTGTACAAAACAAGAACATCTTGAATTTTGCTTGCAAATGGATGGAAATAGAAAACACTATCCTGAATGAGATAACCCAGACCCAAAAAGATGAATATGGTATGTACTCACTCATTTGTGGACTCTAGCCATAAACCATGGTCATTAAGCCTATAGTTCACAAGCCTAGAGAAGCCAAATAACAAGGTGATCCCAAAGAAAAACATTTATAGATCCTACTGGAAATTAGAAGCAAACAAGATTGCAGGGCAAAAGTTGTGAGCATCGGGGTGGGGGCAAACATGGAGGTGAGGTTGGGGGAAAGAGGACAAGGGAAGAGGGAAGGGAGAAGGCAAGGACTGGCAATAGCTTGTGGGAGGTGGAGGGTAGAGATGGAGGAAGGGCAGATATAGGAGCAGGGAAGAAGATAGCTACATTCAGGCATCCATTTTAGGGTTGGCAAGAGACTTGGCTCTAAAGAGGATCCCAGGTGTCCACAGGGCTGTCCCCAGATAGGGCCTTGAACAGCAGGGGAGAGGGTACCTGAACTGTCCTTGCCCCACTATCATGATGATGATTATCTTGAATATCACCATAGAATCTTGATCCAGTGACAGATGGAGATAGATAGAGACCCTCATCAGAGGAATTTACTGAGCTCCCAAGGTCCAGTGGAAAGGCAGAAGGAGGTAGAAGACAAGCAAGGAAGACAGAATCAAGAGGGGTTGGTCTACCCACTGAGACAGATATCAAAAAATAGAAACTTGAACATAATTAACTGTTCTTGTAAGACCATGAAAATGTAATTGCAGAAAGTGGTTATTGAGATCATAGGATTTCAGTTTAAAATAAACTTGATTTAAAAAAAAAAAGCACGCAGGGAAGTGGTGGCATACGCCTTCAATCCCAGCACTCGGGAGGCAGAGGCAGGTGGATCTCTGTGAGTTCGAGACCAGCCTGGTCTACAAGACCTAGTTCCAGGACAGGCTCCAAAGCTGCAGAGAAACCCTGTCTCAAAGGAAAAAAAAAAGCCTAGGTTTTTGTCTGATTTTTTTTTCTTTTTATTTGTTTTCCAATAGAGGGTTTCCCCAGTGTAACAATCCTACCTGTCCTGGAACTAACTCTTGTAGACCAGGCTGGCCTCAAACTCAGAGGGATTCACCTGCCTCTGCCTCCCCAGTGCTGGGGTTAAAGGTGTGCGTCACCACCATCCAGACTTTAGTGTATTATTTTAGCTCTAAGCATTTTCTTATTTTGCCTATGCTCTAGAAATTTAGTAATACCAAATTAAAATGCAATAGGCTAATGTCTTTAAAGAATATTGAAGCTGTTCAATGGTTATCACTGATGACTCTTTTAGGTGTCCAGTAAAAGTACCCAGGTAGGGCAGAAATAAATGAAAATAAAAATGTAGCTTCAAAGGGCATTTATGTGTTAATACAGGCAGGAAATTTCAAAGAGTTTATTATCATTACAGAAAAGCCATTGCTGTGCAGTGGAAGCTTTTCAAGGTGCCCTAAGGGTAAGACTCCATATATAGAAACCTTCAATTTAGGGATGGTTGAGCAAATTGATTCATAGTCACAGGAAGCTACTTCATTCAAAACCTTCTGCACCTGTGGTCAAGCTCATTAGTGTTCATTGCATTAAAGAAAACCCTACTTCTCAGCATCACCAGCAATGTGTTGGTCTTGGGAACATGAAAGAATCAAAATTTAAGATCATGGCTTTTTAGCCCATGGTTACAGTTTACCATTATTGCAGGCATCTGTGTTTGGCAGAGACAGAAGCCCAGTGAGGAGACAGTGAGAGTTCATTGCATGAAGCTGTGAGGATTGAAGCTGGGTGCGGTGTGGTTTCTTTTCCTCTCTTGTTCCTTTAGGGCCTGCCACCCAGTTGTCAATTAAATTCCACACATGGAGGCTTATTTTTTTTTTCTTTAAATGCTTGATTATGGTTTGTTTCAAGTCAGGTTGTTTTTAACTTAATTGTTCTCTACAATTTCCCCCTGTCCTTTATCTTTATTCTGTATTCCCCTCTTTATTTCTTACTCCATGGTTTAAAGGCTCCTGTTGTTTTCTCCTTTCTGTTGCCTCTTCTTTCTTTTCTCCTCCCAGATTTTCCCTCCCATTGATTCTCTTTTCCTGGCAGCCCTGCCTGTCCTTTCTTGTCATGTGACAGGTCATTCAAATATGTTTTAGAACAACCAGTTATTTTAGATAGGCAAACTGTCACAGCTTCACAGAGCTAAACCAATGCAGCAATTCTTTGCATCATTAAAACAAACGTTCCACAGCATAAATAAATATGACACATGTAAAAATGTGATTTCACAGCACAGTGGCTTCCATTTTGAGCCCAAAGATGTTAAGATACCTAAGGTATGACACAACTTCCATGGAGAACTAGCCACTTATAGTGATGGGAAGTTTCCAAAGAGACAAGTGCATGAGAACTTGCAAGGATAAGGCCGTTTAAGTCATTTGAAACTGAAGCCATCCATCTGACAAGGGAGCTACAGGATTTGATGTTTGTCCTGCCTGCTTCAGTCTTGCCTTGGTTGAATCTTCCCTCACTGTGTCTTTATTTTTCTCTTTTGGAATGTTAATGGGATTTTGTACCATTGATGTTAGAAGGAGGTAACGTGTTTTCAGGTTTTATAAGATGTTGCTGTGAACAGATTATCTTGAGTGCTAGATGGCATTACACATTTGGACAGTGTAGGGACCATTGCAGATGAGGATCATTACATGTCTATCCTTGAAATGACAAAATGCAATTTTTCCATTGTTGACCATGAACCAATAGTGGCTGGGGTCAGAATGAACTTGATTGAATGAACAACCTCCCAGAAAAGATCACGTATTTGAACAAGTTTCTCTCCTTGGTGGCTTTCTTTCAACTTCCTGTGAATATTTAGTAGGAGAAGCCTGTCCAGATGATATTCCTCATTATACATAATGAGTCTCAATACCATGAACTAATTTCCTAACACTTGTATCTACTGTTTTGTGCTTAACATTAATCAGCCAACTTCCTACTTCTATGGAAATTTTTTTGCCATCATTATAGGTTTGATCTCTACATTCTATACCTTGCCTATATTCTATAGGTAAAAATGAGATATAGCAGAAACAGTTGCTATTAAGGAGTTTGGCAACATGCTATTTTAATTGCTTTGTTTGCTTGTCTAAGTAGCCCTTACTGTAGCTCTCCAAATTCCTGAAAGTAAAGGGGGGCATCATTTCTGGCTCTATACATTTTTATATTATTGGGTGATAGCCCTTGAATATAGGGGTTTTTTTTATATGACAAGTATATGCTGCTGTGCTGAGCTTCACATATATATTGAATTTTAAAAATTGCAAGAGGGTATCACTCTGATTCCCAGGATACCATGTATTTATGTTTATTAATACTGCCTGAGTCAGTTAATTGCCGGTGCATGAACTTATTCTGGTTTGTTATGCTTAATTTGATTTTTTTTTAAACAATATGATTATTTTATATGTCTGCATGGATATTCATTACCTGCGTACCTGGTCATCAAGGTTATCTAAAGATCTCAGAATTCCTGATCATAGAACAATGGAAAGTTGTGATCCCCATGTAAGTAGTGGAAAATGTGCCCACCTCCATTCAAGACCCGCAAAAACACTGAATTACTCTACCTTCTCTCCAGCTCTTTGTTGATTATTCATGACCAACATGTATATTTCTAGTGTTTTCATCTGTGCATTTTAACTTCTTTACACGTGAAGTTCCTTTCTACAAAATGTTATTAGACTTATAGTTTAAATTGTGACACTTCCGGTATCGGGAAAATGAATACAGAACTTGAGTGAATGGAAAATTATTTAGAAGAACTTCAATAAAAGCCTTTCTGTTTTTTATATCCCATTTCTTTGTTTCCCTGAATTTTACAATGGAGACAGTGTCTTAATGTTTACTTCCACCTATCCTGGACATGATTGCATAGACTTGACTGGCATTCAATTCAGAGACAAATATACCCACCTCTGTTTTCTGAGTGTTGTGTTTAAAGGCACAATAGAACAATATACCCAGGGTGTCCATATTACTTTTTTTTTTGTGTGTTTTGTAACTCTTCATACAATTTTCTCATGCATACTATATAGTGCTGATCTTTTCTGTTGTCTCTTCCTCTCAATAGACCTTGCTCTTATGACAGAGTTGACTCTGCTTTTCAATTTCCCTCTATAGTGACTGTCTATGTCATGGCATAAGAGTAAGGAACACCAGAATCATCTGTCTATACCCTGAAAGAAGTATGAATTTCCATCTTTGTCACTGTGGTGCTTTCCATTTTACACATGTGTGGTGTATTTTAGAAGGCAGTGACCTATGATGATGTGCACATCAACTTCACCCGGGAAGAGTGGGATTTGCTGAATCTTTCCCAGAAGAATCTCTATAAGGATGTAATGCTGGAAACCTACAAGAACCTCATTTCTATAGGTAAAAATGAATTTGCTTCATGTTTCAAAATATGGAAACAACTTTTCCATGGTTAAGGATGTTGTTCTGCAATTTGATTTAAAAAGAAGAATGAGGTGAATACAGCAGTCATATTTCTTAGGTGCACTTAAGTAATAAGCTAAGTGTTGCACATTGTTAAATGATATAAGATATATTCTGGTCCTGTATTTTAGGATACATTGGGGAAGACCATAACACTGAAGAACATTGGCAATGTTCTAGAAGACATGCAAGGTAATTTTCATGTGCAAGTTGATAACAATGTGCCTCTGATGAGACTGCACTTTCTCCTAGAACTTTTAAATAAAAGCAGCAATGTAAATAAGCACAGCTTTAAGTGCGTAGATGGTTATTAAATCCTCACAAATACATATACCTTAATTTCATATATATGAATTATTCTTCCTTTCCTATGTGTATCAGACACTACCCTTGATATAACCTCATGAGCATAGAGACATGAAAAGATTTAACATACTTCTCCTTAAATCAGAAAGAAGATAGGCAGTAGTTCCCATGTAGAGTATACTTGTTGAATTTGATTCAAGTATACAATACTGATGGTTTTCTACAATCATTATTAATATAAAAACGCCCCATGAATTCTAAGTCTGTGCAAATCCTTCTGAATGTCCTAGTTCACTTAGCAAATGAAATATGATTCACAGTATAGTAAAATTTATGAATGCAGTAGAGTTGGGAAAGCTCTCAGTGTATTCAGTTGTCTTCAAAAATATGAATAATATCATATAAAAATATTTTTGTAAATGTGAGAAGGTAAACCTTAAAAAAAAGGAATTTATCATCATACCTATTTTCGTAGATGCAAACTGTCCCCTAATTAAAAAGCAAACATGATTGTAAACAGAGTTATGAAAGCATAATAATTAATTTCTATTTAGAATAGGAACAAGTTGTAAAATAAATTCATACAGATATAAGGTTCAACAGTGTATTGAATGTGGTAAAGCTTTTAAATGTGCCGATTATCCTTGCAGGATTGAAAGAAACCAAAATGGTGACAAGAAACTTTCAGAGTATATGCAATGTGTTCAAGCCTTTTCTGATGACACCCACTTTCTAAGACATGAAAAAACACATACTGGAGAAAAACAGTCTAAAATTAAGCAGTACGGGGAAGACTTTGCTTATCACAGTTATATTCACGTGCTTGAAAGAAAACACACTGGAAATAAACCCTATGAATATAGTCAAGGTGATAAAGACATTGTTCTTTATGAAACTCATCAAAGTCATAACAGCACACATACTGGAGAGAAACCTTATGAATGCGATCAGTGTGGTAAGGCCTATGCATCTCAAACTGAACTTCAAAAGCCTAAAAGAATACATACTGGAGAGAAACGCTATGAATGTAATCAGTGTGGTAACATCTTTGCATCTCTTCAAAGGCATAAAAGAACACATACTGGAGAGAAACGCTATGAGTGTAATCAGTGTGGTAAGGCCTTTGCATGTCACAGTCATCTTCAAGTGCATAAAAGGATACATACTGGAGAGAAACCCTATGAATGTAATCACTGTGGTAAGACCTTTGCACGTCATAGTCATCTTCAGTTGCATAAAAGAACACATACTGGAGAGAAACCCTATGAATGTAATCACTGTGGTAAGACCTTTGCACGTCACAGTGATCTTCAAAAGCATAAAAGAACACATACTGGAGAAAAACCTTATCGATGTAATCAATGTGGTAAAGCCTTTGTCCAGCACAGTCATCTTCAAAGGCATAAAAGAACACATACTGGAGAGAAACCATATGAATGTAATCAGTGTGGTAAGGCCTTTACACGACTCAGTCATCTTCATTTGCATAAGAAAACACATACTGGAGAGAAACCCTATGAATGTAATCTGTGTGGTAAGGCCTTTGCAGCTCAGAGAAATCTTCAAAAGCATAAAAGAACACATACTAAAGAGAAACCCTATGCATGTAGTCAGTGTGGCAAGGCCTTTGCATGTCACAGTCTTCTTCAAGTGCATAAAAGAAAACATACTGGAGAAAAACCCTATGAATGTAATCAGTGTGGTAAGGCCTTTGCTGAAGACAGTACTCTTCAAAAGCATGAAAGAACACATACTGGAGAAAAACCTTATGAATGTAAGCAGTGTGGTAAGGCCTTTGCACATCATAGTCAAGTTCAAGTGCATAAAACAACACATACTGGAGAGAAACCCTATGAATGTAATCAGTGTGGTAAGGCCTTTGCAGCTCAGAGTAATCTTCAATTCCATAAAAAAACACATACTGGAGAGAAACACTATGAATGTAGTTTGTGTGGTAAGGCTTTTGCATGTCACAGTCATCTTCAATTGCATAAAAGAAAACATACTGGAGAGAAAGAAACCCTATGAACGTTATTAGTGTAAAAAGGCCTTTGCACGTCATGGGAGTCTTCAATTACATAGAACACATACAAGATAGAAAAACTATGAATGTAATCAATGTGGTAAGGCCATTACAAGTCTCAGTCTTCTTAAATTGCATAAAAAAACACATTCTAGTGAGAAACCTTATTATTGTAATCATTTTGGTAAGGCCTTTGCAAAACACAGTCATCTTCAAATGTACAAAGGTCACAGAGTAGAGAGGACCCCTATGAATGTAGTCAGTGTGGTTAGGTGTTTGAAGACCACTGTACTCTTCAAAGTTATAAGAGATCACACAGTGTGGGAAAACTTTATGAATGTATATCAGTGGAAGGAAGACTTTTTACATCTTATTCATCTTCAAATGCATAAAAGAACACAGACTGGACAGATAACTGTCAATGGAATCTGTGGTAAATCCTTTGTCACAACCATCTGTAAATACATTAAATAACTCTTCCTGCAGAGAAACTCTATGAATTTAATGTATGTATTCTTCAAAACCATGAGAAAAATCATGCTATAATAAAACTCTATTAGTGAATTTAGTGTTTTAATGTTTTGTACTTCATACAGGAGTAAGACTTTTGTGTGTAATCAATCTGATAAAGCTTATGAATATTACCATAATCATTTGGACCTGTGGAAGAAACTGAACAAAAGTAACCAATCCTTCAGTATGAAATCCAGCCCATCTCTGATCTTTCCCAGGAGTGAGGATTAACATCTAACAAATTCCCTCCTTCAAAATCTCCTTTGATGCCCCCTGGTCCTAAGAAGCCCTATATGAACCATATGCCAATTCTGTATGCTGCTTCCCAATTCCACACTGGCAGGCGTATTTATACTCCTGATTTCTTCCTTCTCAAATAAAGAGGACAGTAATGCGTGTGCAGGCTCACATGGGCATTAGTGTGAGGACATTCTTTTACTGGAATGCTTCAAAACTCCTCAAGTTGTGCTGACATACAATTGTTACTTCTGTTTGGAAACCCTTACGAGAATTGAGCTCATCCCAGATGTGATGGATCACTTTTAACTTCCCTGGACACAATCAAAGATTTTTTGTTTCACCGGGCAATGGTGGCGCACACCTTTAATCCCAGCACTTGGGAGGCAGAGGCAGGCGGATCTCTGTGAGTTTGAGACCATCCTGGTCTATAAGAGCTAGTTCCAGGACAGGCTCCAAAGCCGCAGAAATTCACTGTCTCAAAAAACCAAAAAAAAAAAAAAAATTCTTTACTTATTGCTTGTTTGTTTTGCTATTTTTTTTCAGTTACTCAAGACAGGCGTTTTCTGTAACTTTGAAGTCTTTTTGTTTTATGTTTTTGTCTGTTTTGTTTTTCTTTTGGTTTTTTCAAGACAAGGTTTCTGGTAGATTTAGAGCCTGGCCTGGAACTAGCTCTTGTAGACCAGGTTGGCCTCCAACTCACAGAGATCTGTCTCTGCCTGCCGAGTGTTGGGATTAAAGGTGTACATCACCCTTCTCTGGCCAACAAGGCCTTGGTGGATTTTTTCAAGACAGGGTTTCTCTGTGTACATCTGGCTGTGCTGGCCCACAAACCATACAGCAGGTTGTTATCAAACTCACAAAGATCTGCCTTTAAATGCATCATTGCTCTAATTTCTTATTTCTTCCTATTCCCCATTGTTTCTTTCCATTTTTTATTTATTTATTTTTATTTTTTTTTAAATTTATTTATTTATTAAGGATTTCTGCCTCGTCCCCACAACCGCTTCCCATTTCCCTCCCCCTCCCCCGATCAAGTCCCCCTCCCTCATCTGCTCAAAGAGCAATCAGGGTTCCCTGACCTGTGGGAAGCCCAAGGACTGCCCACCTCTATCCAGGTCTCGTAAGGTGAGCATTCAAACTGCCTAGGCTCCCACAAAGCCAGTACGTGCAGTAGGATCAAAAACCCACTGCAATTGTTCTTGAATTCTCAGTATTCCTCATTGTCCGCTATGTTCAGCTAGTCCGGATTTATCCCATGCTTTTTCAGACCTAGGCCAGCTGGCCTTGGTGAGATCCCAATAGAACATCCCCATTGTCTTAGTGTGTGGGTGCACCCCTCGTGGTCCTGAGTTCCTTGCTCGTGCTCCGTCTCCTTCTGCTCCTGATTTGGACCTTGAGATTTCTGTCCATCTTTCCATTTTTTAAATCAAGTCTGTTGTTTACTTATTTATTTTTAAGCAATGTCTTCTGTAACTTAGGCTGGCCACACACAATGCCATTGAGAATTCCATTGCACACCCTATCCTGCTTCTGCTACCAAGTGCTGAAAAGTCCTGCAATTGCTTCATGGCTGGACCTTAATTGGTCAGTGAGAAAAAAGTAGACCGGTAAAGGGGGCCCTCCTACTTTTCTGGGTTATAATGCAAACTTAAAAATAAAGTTGGATTGTGTACAAATTGAGTTCAGTGACCAACTTAAAGCTTGCATAGTCCCAGCACAGAAAGGGCTGGACAAGAAGCATGAAAACTTACTAAAGTAGTCTACACAAAGAATTGATTATAGCTAAGAGGGATTTTATTTAATTAAAGGTTTTGAATAGGTAAATTCTTCATTCATGTGGATCATTTGAGGTGGTAAGCTCCACATTTTTTGGGTGTTTTGCAACAGGGTTTCACTAGCTTTGGACCCTGTTTTGGAACTAGCTCTTGTAGAGCAGGTTGGACTCAAACTGATAGACATCCACCTGCCTCTGCATCCAGTTCCTGGGTTTAAAGGCATACACCATCACCACCCTGCAAGCTCCACTTTTAGCTGCTTTGTGGTAGTGCACACCTTTAACATTATCACTCAAGAGGCTGAGGCAGTGGGATTTTTTGAGTTTGAGACCAGTCTGGCCTACAGAATGAGTTTCAGGTCTACATAGATAAATCCTATCTTGAAAACACCAAACCAAACAAAACAAAAACAGAAATAACAAACAAACAAAAAAACCAAACAAATACTATAATCCACCTTTAACCTAGATCTCACCTTCTAGATGATTGCCTCTGACCTAATAGAAAGGATATTGAAGAAAGAAGCTCTCTTTTTGCTCTGGTATCAAGTTCTGGCTACCGAGTTCATTCCATTATTAGCATTAGAGTCGACTTGTTTGGAATTTTGATGTATATAGAAAACCAGGTGAAACCTTGAACCTCATGGATTGAACAACTACTGGATTCTTCACTTGATTATAGACAAAAGGCTGTGCAGAAATCTACTGGATTCTTCCAAATTCCATTGGTAGACATCTATTTTTAAGATGACCTGGACCACAGCTTGTAAGACTTTGTCATAAGCCCAATTTCTACTAAAATGGTGAGTTCATTCTACCTGTCTTGTTCATGTAGTAACACAGCTGTATATTTTATTCACCAGTCCACAGAGGAAGATGGCTTACAGCTGGCTAACAGCAGTGCTCATAAAGACATTCTTCCTGGCTCCATTATTCTCTATGTATTCAAATTTCCATGAACCCTACTCTCTTTAACATTTTTCATTTGCCTGGAATTTTCTCTGAATTTCAGGAATAAAACTTGTAAAGCAATGGAGCCATTACCCAGCCTTCTGATTGGGGAAAGATCTTGTTTAAGATCGGGTTCCTACTTTTTTCTCATGATTGTCTGAAATACCTGTGACAACGAGGTAAAATGTACCTTCAGTTCATCTGACCTCAGCATGAAATCACCCAACAAACATTTCCTTTTGTGATCTAAAAATTCTCTTTCGTTGTTAATATTCTGGGCTGCCTTCTACCTGTGGGACAGGAAATCACCACACCCACCTAGCACAGTTCACTGTACAAGCTAGCTAGCTTGTCCTGGAGGAAAAAGGCAAGATTCCTATGGAGTGCAGGATTGTGGCAGTGTCTGCTATTGGAGGCTTGGGCAAGTGTTATTGAAATGCCTATTTTTGCAGATCTAGAAAAGACTTTTGTTGGGAGCAGAAAGGAATGACCAGGAACCATTGTGCTGTCTCTTTAAGCAAGCTATACTCCTTTGGAAGGTTCATCCCACTCAGGCCTCACTAGCCAATCAGGCCCTCCAGTTGACCTGCCAGTCAGAAGTGGTGCATTGCTCTTCCTGTGACCTGCCTCCCTGTTAGGGTTTCCGGAGGAGCTGGCACCAGTGGTTTATGTGCTGTTGTGCCTTTGCTGCTGCAGGGAGATGATGAACTGAGAGCTTTGGTGGGCTGGAGAACCACAACATGGTGATCGAGGGAATGCTGTCTCCAGATGGTGAGGTGCATTTTCCCCAGATCTGGGAGAGAACCTGCCACCAGTTTTCCTATGTTGTGAAGTCCCATGCAGTCCTTGCTAATTTATGGACCTGTGGGCAGGCCTCTGAATAACTCTGCTCTGTGGGCTTAATTTGTTTGGAGAGTTGGGAGCAGGGAGCTGTGTGTACAAACGTCTTTCTAGTCAATTTCTGCAGGCATGATACATTCATGGAAAACCATTGGCAAACTTGGAGAGGCCTAGTTTCTCCAGTATCTTCTTGACATTCAGTAGTTTTCATTTAACCTTCGCATATAGTCATCATTAATTTTAAATTTGTGGAGGTCATCCACAGCTTCTCATGTGCTGGGTAGCACTCCAATGCCAATGCTTAATACATAGGCTAACAAAGTAGAATTGAACTAATTCTACTGCATCTAAAACATTTAAATCCTAAGTATATGTTAACCAGGGCTGTTAGAATGCTCATGTACACATTTTTCAACCGCAATATTCAGATATTTGGCTCCAAACCATGACAAGGAAGCCATTAAAACCAGTCACTTGGCCCTTTGCCATATCAAAAAACAGGCTACTAGCAAGCTGCTCAAGGAGGCCTTACAGGGTCACAACTAACCTTAAGGCCTGGTGTGCCTTAAAGTTCCCCTTTCTTTGTAAGAAAAGCATAGTTCTGCCAGATGGGCAAAATGACATCAGGTGACAAATATTTGAAAAGCAAAATACTGTTTTGGTAAGGACTGACCTGGTCAATCAAGGCTTTCATTTAGGACCTCAGGCAGGGCGAAAGAACATTCTTGGGAGCATTCCCTAAGGGCCCGATGTACTGATAATAAAACAGAGCTCTTTATCTAAAACCAGGAATATGTTTGGAAGAGCTGGTAATGGTCTGGGGATAAGTCCTTTGTGGAGAAGTTTCTTCAGGTCCGAGAAACCAACTCTTTCCAGCATATGGAGCTATAATTTTCAGTTCCTAACCAACTCAGCATATAGGAAAGTTCTTGAGATACCCTGTCTTCCCCATGTGTAAAATTGTTTGACTAGCCTCCTCCTAAATTTTTCCCATTGTGTAATAGTTTCTACTGACTTCATAAAATTCTTCCATTTTTTTCCATTTACTCCTAGGAAGTATACAAGATATAAGGTGCTTTTCTTCTTTTCTCTTTTTTATGTTGGTCTTGTTTTTTGGGACAGAGTTTCTCTGTAGGACTGACCTGACTATCCTAGACTGTCCTGACTATTCTAGAACTCATGCTGTAGACCATGCTTGCTTCAAACTCATAGAGATTATTTGGGTTTGCCTCCTTAGTCTTGGGATTAAAGGCCTGTGCCACCATTGCCTGGAAAGAGGCTATTTTTCTTAAGAAGCTTACAAAGCATAGACG